CAGTGCAGAACCTACCCCCACCATCAATATCAGTCACACTTGAATGGTTTGTAATACATTTACAGATGGATTTAGTGACATTTGCTGTCTCTTTTGAAATACTGAGTCTTCCCGTATTAAGATGGCTCAGTGTGTCTGCTTGTGTGTATGGAGAGGCCTTCGCACATGCAGTTCAATATTGAGGCTGCTCTGTGGTTGAGGCATTCTCAGTGAGATCTTTTTATTCAGCAGGTGCTCCTGTCAGTTTTCATATTTAGTAGCTATCATCTCTGAGTTCCTTATTGCTTTTTGTTTGTTACTTAACTTTCCTCTGGCATTCTTTAATTTTATAACATAGACTACAATAACATTATAAAATATAGTTATAGAATATTATATAACAACCATTCGCATATTGTATTTGTAGGTCTTGGAGGAATGCCTGAGAGGTTCAGGGCACTCTCCTAGAGGATTCAGGTTCAGTTTCCAGTGCCTACATGGCTGCTCACAACCATCTATAACTCCAGTTCCATGGCATTCGATGCCTCTTCTGACCTCTGCAGGCATTGTACACATGTAGTACACAGACATACATGCAGGCAAAACACCTGTACATATTTAATAAACATGAATAATCATAAAAATAAATCTTAAAAATTGTTTGTTTCCTCTTCCTCGTTTTTTAAAAAGATTTTTCATATGATTTGTAGTATCTAATTTCCCCTGGACAAGTTAAACCAGAGAAGCAGCTGTAGTTTCCTTGGCTGATTCTTGGCTTCAGTAGAGAAGTATCTAGACTTCATCTGTCATGGTTTGAGAGATCCCAAGCCCTTGTCACCTTGTAAGGATTAAATGTGTCTGTCATGGGTGTATGCTTTCTTCATTGTTAGTTTGGTCTAGTTTGTTTTTCTACTTGTAAGTTGTGTAATATTTTAAATAGAAATGCAGTTTCTTCATGGAATGCCTAAGCAGAGTGCTCTAATTGTTATACCTGGGTCCTTCATCTGGACTTCTGGTCATTGTTAAACTTGATGTGTAGATGTCTTTTTATATCATGATTGTGGTGAGTAGTTAGTTACTTCACTAGAATGTGACCATGAGGTCAGGGAGCTTGTGTTTCATAAATGGAAAGGTGAGTGCATGTGATGTAGGTTAGATCTGGGAGTTAGATCTGGGAATTAGTTCTAGTCTGGCTGACAGAACCCTTGGGAACAAAGGGAATAGGATGTTAAAATGCAGGTACCAGATTCTTTCTGGAGATTCTTGCTCTGGGCCCAGGGAGTTAGTTGTATGGTAGGTTTTTGTCATGGGCAACTGGAACTTTCCATGCACCTGCTTAGATGGTCTTAAACTTGCTTATGAGATTCAACTGGAAGTCATGTTTTGATAGACATTGGGAAGACCAAGATCTTTGGGTTGTTTCCCTTCTCTCTTAGTGTTCTAGGTGACTCAACAGTGTGAGCTACATAGATTATAGTCAGTAAACCGATACCCATGGGAAGCTTGGCTTGTGAATGGGAATGTTCCAGACTTATTGATTGGGTTTTATTTGTTGACTATTTGGAGGGGGTAGGTTCAGGAAAGTGTTTGGATATAGGCACCTTATGGGGTTCCTTTTGCAGCTATAATTCATAGGTACTCAGAGAAGTGGTGGGAGCCCATATTGATAGAGAATTTATTAAAATTTTGAATTTGAAAATTTGTGTTAGATATTCCTTATATTATGATTTGAAGTAATGAAATTCAAAGATATTTAATGTAGTAAGGCAGTCTGAAAGACATTTAATTCTTATGATGTGATTATAGTCTGTGTCTTTGCCAGTGCTGCCCCCCCCCCATGTCCCATGGAGGGTAGGAAAGAGTCTCACAGTTTGGCATGTAAAGACGTAATATATCTTTAGTAGTTTGCCTCAGGTGTGAAAATCACTGCATAATGCTACAGATGCTTAAGGTGCCTTCACAGCACCGTGGGAGACAGGTGCTGATGGATGTGTGGGGTCAGAGTGTCACTCCAGATGTTCTGGATGGCAGTGACAGTTTTGTTGGAAGTTTGGAGCCGTAGGTCAAAGAGTTCCCGTCCACTTCTCAAGTCTCATCTCATTGCAGTGGCATCGGTCGGGGTTCAGGGAGGAACACTGTGTCAGGAAGATGGGATGGAGCTGTTGAAGGATATCTGGTGTCTACTAGAGTCACCATGAGGGTCATTTCATCCGCACCAGCCCTCAAGTCAGACTGACTCTGGTACAAAGAGCCATGCTTGTGGCTTAGGGCAAAGTACATTTTTAAAAATGAAACATAAAAAAATATTTTTTGCTGAAGCATCTTATGTTGACAAAGTACATAAAAACCCATAAAATTAGTACTTTTTAAAAAATAAAGCATGATTTTTTTTTCCTGAAGGGTCTCATGTATCCCAGGCTGGTCCCAAACTTGCTGTGTTACAGAAGCTGAGGATAACCTTGAGCTGTCACTCTTTCTGCCTTTGCCCCCCCCCCCATGTGCCAGGCTTATAAGTCTGTGCTACCATACCTAACTATCTTTCAAAATTATAAGTAAAGATATATTTCAAACATCTAGAAAAATGATAGTAAAATAATAAGTGAAACTTACAAGCATAACATTGTATCATTTTTATGTATGTTATCTCCATAGTATTATTGCCCCAACTATACTGAAGGGGGTATGGAAATCAACATACAGAGAGGTGAAGTAGTTTCCTCAGATTTGGCAAATAGCAGAGGTAGGAATCCAGGCTATCCAGTGCCAAAGGACATGGTCTGTTTTGTTTGTTTGTTTGTTTTTGTTTTTGAGATGGAGTCTCACTATGTAGCTCTGATTGTCCTGGAACTTGCTCTGTAGACCAGGCTGGCCTAGAACTCACAGAGATCTGCCTGCCTCTGTCTCCCAAGTGCTGGGATTAAGGCATGTGCCATTATGAAAGGGCATAGTCTTAAATAACAACAACAACAAAAACCCTTGATTAAAACATGTCAAACATGAATGACACTTAACATCTAATATTAATAAATGCCTACATTTTGAACCCATTACATGTAGTAGATCTTTTCTCATCTGAAGAGTAGTTCATGTTAGAGTCTGTTTTTTTTTCTGGTTTCATCACTTTTTCTTCCTCTGACCTTCAGCATCTCCCTGTTAAAGGTCAGTCCTGCTCCGAGTAGTCAGCATCTGGCAAGAATGCTGTAGGTACTTAGGAAATTCTTCTACATGCCCAGATACTATCCCAGGAGCAGAGATTGGGCCATAAACACCAGGAACTCATAAGCTAACAGTGAGAAAGCATGGATTTATTTAAGTGACTTGTATGCAGTGTTACAGTTTTGGAGGGTAGGTGGCAAATGGATGGCATGGCTTGTTAAAAAAAAAAAAACATAATTAGGCATGATTTAGTGATTTCTGGTCTGATTATTAGTTCTTTAAGCTTTATAGCCTTGGGTCAGTAACTCAGTCCATTGGAGCATATCTCCAGAATGATTGTCATGTTAGGGATGAGCTGGCTGTCTTTGTTTTTGAGTCTGTCACTATGTAGCTGGCCTTGATCTGGCTATTTCCTGCCTCAGCCTCCATTGGGCTGGGATTATAGCTGTGACACCATGCTGGTCTGGTTTTGGATTCTCAAATTCAGTCTGTGTTGGCTTCATTCACTAAAACCTGCAGACTCTGGGTTGGCCTAGAAACTTCCTCTCCCATGGGTCTGTGATCCCCGATGTGGGAGACTGTGCATCCACTTGGTTATTAATTTCTGTTCCTAGATCTCTGGTAGGGGCTTCAGATGGGTCTTGTCTCATAGGGCTGAGGAGTCTCGGAGTCTGGCCTCGCCCTGTCCTGTGGTGTGAAGAATTTAAACTTGGGAAGGTGGGCAATGGGTACAAACACAGCCCCTTGCTTGTTTTACTCACTGTGCTTTCAAAAATCCCAAATCCGGCATATGGTAAAGTATAGTTTTAAGAAATCATAAAATTGGCTGGGTGTTGGGAGGCAGAGGCAGGTGGATCTCTGAGTTCCAGGCCAGCATGGTCTACAGAGCTAGTTCCAGGACAGGTTCCAAAAGAATACAGAGAAACCCTGTCTCAAAAAACAAAACAAAACAAACTCACAAAATTACAAGAATTTAGAATATCAAATGGAAACATTTAACATCAAACATCTTGAAATAATTTGTAAATGAGAAGAAAAGTCCCTTTCCAGTCCTGGGAAGTGTTTTAGCCCTGTAAGCACAGGCTGGTTGTGTTGACCACTGTGAAGAGCTCTGCTGAGGAGGGGCGCTGGTCCTTAGCTCCTGGTATGTTTTTCTGGGTACTCTTCCAGCAGATGGTCTGGGTGACGTTCCACTCCCCTCCCCCCTTTATATTTAGGAGATTATCGAATGCTTTTGGAACAGAAAGTAGTATTTTGGCATTTGTTTTCGTAAAGACTTTTGGAATCTACCAGTATCTTGACAGAAAGTGGGCTTCTTCTGAAGCGAGATGGTAGAGAGATGCTCCTGTCAGATGAACCCCAGAAGAGCTGTGTCTAGACATATGCCATGGCATTTTAAGAAAATTATATAATCAATCTCTAACACTCCAAAAGTTCAGGAAGTTAGGAAGAGCGTGTGTTGGAGTTAGCCAAATAGTTAGACGGGCTCCTTTTCTCCGTTTCACTAGCTCTTTAGTCTGGGTAGCTTAGCTTTTCAGGGCCCTGGTTTTCCTTTCTACGAAAGTGGGATAATTGTATTTTCTTGTGTTCTTGTGATGGCCAGTAGAGTGTGAGAGTCAGGAGGGACAGAGAGACGGGCGTGAGTATCAGTCACGTTTGTGCTCTGTCACAAATAAGCTGATACTGAAAGCTTGACAACTCGACTTTGATATGATGCTCAGTGAGCACAGTTTGTTTCCCTGGTTTTTTTTTTTTTTATTTCAAGGGCATAGTCTAGGCTTGGTGTGCTTTTAATGAAAGACATGAGTGGGATGTGGTTGGGAGCATTGCCATCTAAACCTGTGTTGATGACTTTGTGCTTTTAGGTATACCAAGCTTGGCTACGCAGGCAACACTGAGCCACAGTTCATTATTCCGTCATGTAAGTAAAGCTCTTCCTTGGGTTCTAAAGGCTTGTGTTTCTCAGCATTTTAAAGCATTCCAGTTCTGTGTATCAAGGTGTTTGAATGTTTTTAGTCTTCTTTTAGACCGTCATTCCAATTCCCGGGAAGGGCTGTCTATTTTGAATGTTGCTACAGGAGGAGGCCATGGCCCAAACCTCCTTAGCAGCCCTCTTGTTCTTGATTCCTTTCTCTGTCATCGGCTTTCTGGTTTTACCTTGGGAGGCTGCAGGGGCATTTCATTGTGACAGGAGTGTCCCTACTGCCTGGAACAGTCGCTTTGGTTCTTCAAGGTTGATCTGTGGTTGTAAGGATACACAGTGTCACTGGTAGCATGGCACCAATCACTGTTGAAAGACTTTATTTTTTCAGTGGAAGTAGAGGTCTACTGATTGTTCTTACTGTTCAGAAGTGTTCTGCTTTGTTTAACTTTCATCAGCAAAGGGCGATGCACTTAGGTGTCATATGTTGTTCTTCTTACCTGTTCCTTATTGTCAACGGGAGTCTCCCCAAGGGCTAGTTAGGCTTTAGAGATAGAATCCTCTAGTTTGAATCCCAGGATAGTTTACCCAAGGGAAAGCTGAATGAACCCAAACCTAAGGGGAAACTTGACTTCCCATGTGCTCTTGCTGAGATCCTAGGACCCAGCTTGCACATTAATGGAGGAGAGCTTGTGTAGATTATATTCAGCTCAAGCCGAAGCCTTTTTGTGGTTGGTGTGAGCATCAGCTCACTAGATAATGCACTCCAGATTCCTTGAGGGGATTTAAGCCACAAGCTACAGTGGCCTACACAGCTTGGGGAGTAAAGATGTCTCATATGGGCTTTTCCTGGTGATGGTGTTACTGGTCTGCTGTGTCTTCATTTTAAATTCATGAAGTGGAGTGTTTGTCTGGAAAGGCTGCCTTATAAATAGCAGACAAGGGGGCTTACTCAACAGAGCCCTAATCCAGTTCTGGAAGCCCAGAGTCCAAGTTCAAGGTGCTGCTGCTGTTGGTGTCTGGTGAAACTTTTTTTTTTGTTTTTTTGGTTGGGCTTACAGAGGAGCTGTCTTCCTTCCCATTGGGTCTCCATGTTGTCTTTTCTCTGTGTGAAAATGTGTGTGTGAGAAAACTGGTGTCCCCTTTTGTAAGGCCACCACTGTATTAGGACCCTGCCTTCATGACCTTTTAACATTCACTGATGTTCATAAAAGTCCTGTCTCCAAATTCAGTCATGCTGGAAGTTGGGGCTTCTTTTTGTGGAGGCATAGTTAGGTCCATGACATTTGACATCTGTACAGTGATCAGGCACTGTGAATTTTATTAGGATGAATGATCATTCCATGCTGGGTTGACAAATTGGACTTTCTGGGTTTTGAAAGCAGAAATGAGATTTTTAACCTTGTTAAGTGCGTCAGCTAAAAAGAACTGACCATGTCCCCTTTGCTTTGCTCTGATGCCATCTAAGACTCAACAGTACTCAGTTGGCTGCACCACTTAACCTGTCCATTCATAGAGGGGATTGAAGGCTGCCATCAGCGGGACTCACAGTCAGGAGGTAGGGGAGAGCTCTCAGACTGGGGCTGTTGTCAGAACCTTAGCAGTGGCAAAAGCTAGAAAACAATGCAGTGCCAAAGGGCAGGGAGTAAGAGGATGGCAATAAAAAAGATTTGTCTTATCTGTTTAAAACTCTACTTATTTATTTTTATGTATATAGGTATTTTGTCTGCATGTATATCTTGTACCATGTGTGTAGTGTCTGCGGAGGCTAGAAGGTGTTGGATTATCTGGGACTGGGGTTACAGATGGTTTTGAGCCACAGTGTGGGTGCTGGGAATTGAACCCAGGTTCTCTGGAAGAGGGGACATGCTCTTAATTGCTGAGCCATCTCCTTATTCTCATCAGTTACTTTGTAATGTGTGTGTGTGTGTGTGTGTGTGTGTGTGTGTGTATGTGTGTGTGTGTGTGTGTAGAGGTCAGAAGTCCCTTGGAGCTAGAGTTATAGGAATCCTGAACCACCTGAGATGGGCGATAGGAGACAAATTCAAGTCCTCTGCAACAGGAGGATGAGCTCTTAACCACTGAGCCTTCTCTCCAGCCCCAGGAATGGTGACACTGTTGGCTGAAATTCTCAAAGGAGAATTGCAGGAATCACAGTTGAAGTTGTTGGGCACATGGGAGGGTGTTTAGATAGATTCAGGGCTTCAGTTACCCAGAGGATTGATTCCCTGCTTGTCTTGGTGCTGAGAGTGGAACTGTTTTTCTGCTTGCAGAGGTCTTGTTTCCAGGACAAGTTGGAGGATGTGCGTGCTAAAGTAGCTTCAGGAGAGCTGGACCTGGAGCTAAAGCCCTAGAACTTGCCTGGGATGCAACAGACCTGCATCCCATAGTGCAGGAGAGAGAAGGAGAGAGAAGGGAAGATGGACAGGAAGATGGGCAGAGAGAGGGAGGGAGGATGTGTGCCAGGGGCTGAAGCAAGACTGTGATCTCCAGGGGCTCAAAGTCAGATTTGGGTGTGTAGAAGTGGAAGCTAACGGAAGCTCCTTGCAGCCTGGCAGGAGATGGGATTGAAGTTTGGAGGAGAGCCATGTGATCAAGACTGGGTTATCTTTCTAGGCAACTGCATTCCCAAGGACTTCCCTCCTGGCCTGGGCACTGGGGCTAGACTGGCATTCCATCTGTTCAGGCTCTGTTTGTGTCTGTTTGTGGAAGCTTCTGTGTAGACTTGGCCTCATTGTTTGGAGGAGGTTTATTTCTTCTTATTCTTGTTTTGGGGTTGGTAGGGACTATTGGGAGCCTCTGGAAGATTCCGTCTGAGGAGGACCACAGCAATAGAAAGGGGACAGTGGAACAGGGAAGGTGGGAGGAAGGGGGTTATTTGTGGCCATTGCTGAAAGCTCTGGGATGAGAGCTTGACTGTAGAGCGGGACGTGGTGTTTTTTTTTTTATTGTTCTTTCTCGAGGCAGGTCTTACTATGTACCCCTGGCTGGCCTAGAACTCTCTGTGTAGACCAGGCTGGCCTCACCCAGATCTACTTGTCATTGCCTCCCTGAGTGCTGAAATGAAATGTATGCCACCACTCCTTGTATTTTTTCTTTAATTAAATATAGCTTTAAAAAAATTGGTTTGGGTAGTAAAATGCAAAAGAGAATATAGTAAAGACCCTTGGACCCACTACCCACAATAAGCGCACTAACATCCCATCTTCATGTCAGAGTAAACATATACACCAACATTCTAACTTCATGTCAGAGTAAGCACATGCATAACATTCCAACTTCATGTCAGAGAAAACACATACACTAACATCCCATCTTCATGTCAGAGTAAACACATACACCAATATTCCAACTTCATGTCAGAGTAAACACATACACCAATATTCCAACTTCATGTCAGAGTAAACACATATACCAATATTCCAACTTCATGTCAGAGTAAACACATACAGTCGTGTGCTGCATAAGGCAGAGCTGGCCTGCATGTGACAGAGGCCTTGGGAGATGTTTTGGTTAGCGTAAGTACACGTGCTATGAGAGCACTCAAGGTGAGTTTCTCAGATGACAGATGTCTGTGATTGACACCTTTCAGGCTGAGTCTTAGCCCCCGTCTTTCTTCCCTGTCCTTTCCCTGTCTTCCCTTGCTTCCCTCCCTCTGGTTATATTTGCAGTCTAGGCCTAGTCTTGTGTTTCAGCTTTACATCATATGTACACGGCTCACCGCTCTGTGAATTTTAGAATGATTTCCTGCAAAGTGTCAGCATTATTTTTAAAACCTCTTCAGGGTTGTTTTAGTATCTGTCACTGCTAATGTGTGCAGGGCTAAAGCTGGAGTCTAGTGAGGACACACAACTGAGTCTCCTTTTGTAGACCAGATCTTAAACTCACAACCCTCTCGCCTCAGCTTCCCTGTGCTGGGATTACAGACATGGGCTGTATGTCCAGCCAAAATATCTAAAACACGCGTGTTTTCCAGCCTTATTATTATACAAGCCAGTGTAGTGAATATCTTAGCACATGCGCTTTTCCTAAGAAGGGATCTGAGAGCTCTGGTTTCACAGTAGCTACACACTTGCTGTCTCATGAGTTCTGTTTTGACCTCAGCCCTCTGGCTACATGAGTGAGGTTCTACTTTTTCACCATTAACCTCAGGTTCAGTGAATGTTGCAGTAGAGCTGAGCATCATTCAGCACTACTCCATGTTTTTGTCCTGTTTTAAAATTTAATTTTTGGACAATTTTTAGTGTCATAGGGTCACTAGGTATCACGTTCTGACTTGTTACAGATATTGTCTCTTATTTTGTGAGTTTTTGCTTTTTTTTTTTTTTTTTTTTTTTTGTGGCACTGGGATCAAACCTTGTGTGTATGAAACACTGAGTTACATTCCTAGCACACTGTCACATTTTTAAATAATTATTTTTTGCCATCTAGAAATTTTAAATTTTGATAGAGTCAAAAATCTCAATGTTTTTCAGCTTGTAATGTTTCTATTTTTAAAAGTGCATTCCCATTCCAAAGACCTCAAAAGGAATTTTGCATTTTAAAGTTAAGTTTTGAATATGTATGAATGATAGCTAGCTAATCCTATTTTCAAGTACAAGCCAGTTGCCCCAACACCAGCGACTGAAAAGTACATTCCAATTTGAAACCCCCTTTCTTGTCACATCGAAGTAACGTTTATGCTTGGGCGTATTTTTTTTTTTTTTTCTTGGCAGAATTTCACCACATATCTCAGAACTTTTAATTCCCCTGCCTCAGCCTCCGGAGCGCTAGGATTGCAGATGTGTGATACACTGCCGGCCCTGTGCTTGCAAACGGTTTGCTCTTTATTCGCTTCATTGTTGTGTTTGCCCATCTCTGCTCCAAGTGTGCGGTTTGAGAGCCACTGTCGCAGTTTTCTTCAGTGACTTTGATTTTTTCATCTTTTAAAACTGATTTAGCTCTTCCTTTATGCTATATGTTTTAGAATCAGTTTAAGTTAATTATAACAAACCATAATGAGGCCTTGATTAGAGATTCTCTTTTATAGCCAATTGCAAATTTTAGCATTTAATGTGATATTCGGGGAAAAGAATGGAATATTCAGTTCCTGTTCATGAATGCAGTGTAGGTGTTTCATTGTTCATTCATATCTTGTGGGGCTTTCAGTAATGTTTTATGATGTTATTTAAATCCTTCTACATGCTTTTTGCTAGATTTATTTTTAGGGACTTGTATGTTTTATTGTGAGTGAATTTATTTCTAAAGTTGAGTTTTCTGATTAGTTATTGCTAGCACGTAAGAACGCCCAGGTGTTGGAGCTACTGAGAATGTGGTTGCTCTTTCAGAGGATCTGGCTTTGGTTCCAGCCTCATATTAGGCAGCTCACGACTGCCTGCAGCTCTAGCTCCAGGAAATCTGTCCTATGCCCTCTTCTGGACTATGTGGTCATTTGCACAAACACATGCACATACTCACATATCAGTGCAGACATATGTGCAAAAGTTAAGATAAAATAAATCATAATAATGTTCTTGAGATTTGTACTTTGTTTTTGCGTTCAGCAACATTTGTTTGATAGTCTGCGAACAGAGCCTTCATCCCCCCCAAACCCCCCTTGTGTTTGTGGAATATGTACATGTTCATAGATGTGTATATATGTGCCTGCCTGTGTGTGGAGGCCAGAGCTTGGTGTTGTCTTTGTTCATTGCTCTTCATGCAATTTTTGACATGGGACCTCTCGCTTAACTTAGAGCTCATGAACTCTGCTAGGCTGGCCAGCCAGTCAACTCCTATTTCTACCTTCCCCTCACTGGGATTCTAGATGCGTTAGTCTCTGTGCTTGGCCTTTACTTGGGGATCCAAACTCAGGTTCTCTTGGTTGCACAGCAAGCATTTTTACTTTGAGTCCCAATGCAGACCGTTGTATTGTCTGCAAGTAATGGTTATGCCTGGCTTCTGGCTTCTAATTCTAGTCCTGCTGTGTTTCCTTATTGTGGCTGTTTTTGTTTTGTGAACATTTATTTATTTATTGTAGGTGGGGTGCACATGCCACAGTATACATGTGGAGCTGAAGACAATATTCAAGAGTCTGTTTTCTTCTACCATATGGGTCCCAGGGGTCATACTCAGGTAGTCAGGCTTGGTAGCAAGCACCCTTACTCCTTAAGCCATCTGGCTGGTCTTTGGTGGCTATTGTGTTGACTGAACCTCTATTAAAATAGTGACCAGATCTGGGGTTACCAGGTGCTTTTGTTTTACTAACTTTAAAGACTTTTAGTGTTTCATTAATGGTTCTATATAGATTTTTATGACCATGCTATTTCAAGTTTTAGCAATGTTCTTAGGGTTGTGCATGGTGATGCATGAGGCCAGAGAGAAAGGAAGTGGGGAGAGAGAGAGAAAGGAGAGAGAGAAGGATAATGCAGTTTGGCCCAGAAAAAAAATACGTGTGCTATGTATTTATAGCATGTACACATTTACAGATATGTTGCAGTTTAGACCATGTATATATCATTATTAGGCAAATGGATGGGCTCAATAGGATGAAAAATGTTCTTTATAAATAGGAAGTTATTGAGTTTAAGTTTATTTTTAGTTATGTATTGAATTCGAAACCAGCCTGGGGGATATCAGACTGACTGTCTTAAACAAAAACTAAAAAGAGAAACAGTAAACTAGAAAAAAGAAACTATCTGGGAGCTGGGTGGGATGGTCCAAGCCTAGGATGACTCTTAGCATTCAGGAGGTTGAGGCAGAAGGATGGGAACCTGCCTGGACCACATAGCAAGAAGAGCTTGTCTCAAAAGCCAAAGCCCAGCCAACCAAACAATAAAATACTATTCTATTCCAGGGACATGACTTTGATACAATGTGTACAGCTACATCTAAAATTGTTATGATTCTAGCGCCCTTGCTTGGTAATTTAATATTCATGTCCCATCTTATCTAGCAGTTGTCTTATTTAAATTGATATTTCTGATTCTTGCTAGGATGAGAATTTCATTTTTAAAAATTAAATTCCAGGAATTTGTTTATTATGCTATGGGATTCTTGATCTTATTTTAAGGGGGGTGACTCTTTGTTTCTGCCATTTTGGGGTAAAAGAGCAAGTCTCCCTCTTGGCCTTTTTGGCTCCTGGTTGTTAGGGTCTCTGTGATACTGCTGGGTGGGGAGATGTCAGGGCTCTGCAGCTTGCTGTGGCCTCTGGGGTAGCTGAGTGACGGAGGTCATTATTTAGACAAGAGCTCTGCTACTGAGCCTCTCATGTAGCCCAAGCTCTGTGTATCTTTATTGCTTGCTTGGATTCCCTTGCTGCTATCTAATTCTCCTACTTCCTTCCTCCTACCTCTTTGTCTCCCACACCCTCCCCCATCAAAACTTAATTCTATTTCTGTAATAATTTGAGGGTGTCAGAAAAAATTTTCTAGTAATAATTATACATCTATATTTACTTGTTTGGAATAATGTTTTACTTTTACTTATTTACTGTTATTAATTATTATTATTATTCCTGTGTGTGTGTGTGTCTGTGTGTGTGTGTGTGTGTGTGTGTGTGTACTTGTGCCACAGTGTGCACAGAGATTGATCAGAGGACAACCTGCTGGAATCTGTTTTCTCCTTCTACCATCTTGGTCCTGGAGACTGAGCTCAGGTCATCAGGCTTGTTGGCACGTTTCTTTACTACTGAGCCATCTTGTCGGCTCTGGAGTGATTTTTAAGATAAGATATCTACAGCAAAGCTAGTATCTTACAGATCTGTTGTTGGACTTGTTTTAAGTGTCCAACTGTGGAAGTGATGGGTGTCCAGCCTGCAGTTTAGGATGATGAGGCTGACACAAAATTACAAACTCCTTTAACTCAGTTGTGCTGTTCTTAACTGAGCTTTGAGGATGACAAAAGCCAGGTAAGGATGAATGAATTCAGAGTAACAGGCTAGAATGCTTTAGCTTGCACAAACATTTGGATTTTGTTCTGTTTTCTTCCTTCCCATCCCTTTGAGTGAAAAGTCAATATGTGTAGTATTTAGAAAGAACATCACTGTGGTCCTGCTGCCCAGGGCCAGCTGTGTCCTGCTTTGGCTGGCAATCTCAGGTCTGCACCTGCGGTGGCCTGTGACTTATTGAAATGGAGCGGCCGCATGGGGCTCTGAAAGGCCACTTAGTAGCTCCGTCTAAGGCCTTGATATAGTTTGAACAACTCTGACTTCAGATGGGTTAGGACCCCTACCTGCACCTCGTGCTATTATTAGTTTTACAATTGGTACCTTTACTCACTCAGACACTTCTTTAGAGTGACGTCAGTGTTTCCTGGCGCCCCCTTAAGTGTTCAGGCACATTTTCAGTGTGGTTCACATTATCACTGGGTGCTGCTGTCCCCACTGAGTGTCTGTGCACACTCTGCAGTGCTGCAGCCATGCATAGGATGTGGTGGCCATGTCCCTCCCCTTCATGGAAGGGGTACATCCCGCAGTGTGCTAGCTGGAAAGCGCTGAGCTCCACATGCAAAGGGGACTTTGCTTTATGAAACTGTTACACTACTGGAATGGTTAGGTCATACCAGAAAGATTAGGTGCCCTCCCCCCCCCCCCTGCCCCGGAGGCCCCGGAGGCCCCGGAGGCCGCAGAGGTACACACAGGAATTCTGAGGAATTTCAGTTGGCACTCCTGCGACTTCACCAAACATACATCAAAACCCTTGGGAGGCTCTGTTGGCATAGCTACAGAATTAGACTTATGTTAGAATCATTTGACATAGTTTGAACATTTTCCAAATTCATAGTCAGCCTTTCAGTAGAGTAGAATGTTAACAGGACCCACTGGCGGCAGCTGCTTAGGTGCAAGGCCTTGGCTGCTGAGGTGGTAATATGTTCCCCATAGGCTCCCATACAGATGCAGTGACATCGAGCACAAAAAGAACAGCAGAGTGTTCGGTAAGCCTAAGTGCCTCTAATTCAGTGATTTGCACGGGCCTGCCCCTGGAGAAGAAGCAGACTTACACCTTCTGACTTGAAGTATCTGTAGTCTTGTTGGTGAACTGGTTAGCATTCTTTTTGAAAAATGCATTAATGAAAGTATGAATGGCCAGTGGCCATTGAGAACATGCCTCCGGTTACCAGATAGTCAGGGAAAGTTTTCAGGGAGCCCGTGGAATTTCACAGAGACCTGATGAGGAGGAGGAGTTGGAAGGAGCTCTCATTGTGACCAGGGCTTAGGAGTGGCAATGGAAATTGAATCTTTGTAAAGCATTTCATAGTTTTATTAGATGTTAAATTCTGGAGCAAGGTTTATATGGTTATTTATTACTAAGTATAGTTGCAAATATGTACTGTTAAGATGGTCTGTGTTATGGTTGTTTGAATATTGCATTTCTCTTTTTGCAATAGATGCTGGTCCACATCCTCATAGTTTTTCATTTTAATTGGAAGCCACAGCTCCCCCCTCTCCATAATTAGACTATATATTAAAAAACTATTTGATGTCATTTTATTAAAATGACTTAAGAGCATATAAGCATTATTTTTCAGTCTGTTGTATAGAATTCTGTTCCCTACAAGCTGTGTTTTACATTCACCATGTCATGGGTGTATGGCCTACATCATCACCTGCTTTTCTTAAGGGGTTTCTCCAGATGAGGCTGATGAACAAGATTGCTTCTGTGCTGATGACACTGGAGAAGAATTGTTTGTTTCTCTGTTATTTCATGTGTTCATCATGTCTCCCGTGAGCACCCCAACCCCAGATAAAATCTTAGCAGTCACTGTTTACTGTACAAACATATTGATTATGTTAGCTGTTCCTGATAATTCAGATAACACCTGGATAGTGATGGCATCTTTGTGAAAGAAAGAACATTTTTTTTTTTTTTTTTCCCTTCAGGTATCGCCATCAGAGAGTCTGCAAAGGTAGTTGATCAAGCTCAAAGGAGGGTGTTGAGAGGAGTTGATGACCTTGACTTTTTCATAGGGGATGAAGCCATTGATAAACCTACCTACGCTACCAAGGTAAAGTTGTGCCAGCAGTCTGTGTAAGTGCAGAGCCAAGAGCAGAGCATAGAATGCCTGTGGGAAATGATAGGCTGCCTGGCAATTGTACCTGTGAGTGGTGGAATGTGGCTTCACTCTTATGCAGGGTGATGAGGCTGGTTGAACAGAGGGGGTTGTTTCTGAAGAGGTGGCTTTCTGAGTGGAGAACCATGTGAGTTAACAAAGGCCTGAGTCTCACAGTAGTCAACTGTGTGAGCAAGATCTGCCCTTGGAAGCTGAGCCGGAGTAATTAAGAAGAAGCACACATATTAAAGCAGGTATACTTTTACAAAATGAATTACCTTTTACACTTTGCATACAAAGTGATGGAGTACATTATAACATTTTCATGCATACATGTCATTTACTCTGGTTTTATTCACCCCCCACTTCCTCTGATGACCTCATAACCTCTCTCTCTCATCTACCTGCCCACTCTTGCTGGTTCCCTCTCTTCCTCCAGATTTTCTTCGTTCTCATGATGCAGGGAATTATATTACTCACTTTTTCTCGTTCTTCCCTTAAGATCACTTTTTTCCCATTCATGGCACCACCATGCATCCCCTCCCAACATACATGTTCATAGAAAGACAGAAAGGAGAGAGAGAGAGAGAGAGAGAGAGAGAGAGAGAGAGAGAGAGAGAGAGAGATTGATTTAAATCTAGGATCTATATATGAGAGAAAACATGCAATGTTTGTCTTTCTGAGTGTGGCTTATTTCACTTACTTTAATAATCTCCACTGGCATTCATTTCCCTGCTGTTGTCATGATTTCATTTTTTTATGGCTAAATAAAATTCTATTGCCTATATGTACCACATTTTAAAAGAATCCATTTATGCTGGGCAGTATGGCACACACCTTTAATCTCAGCACTTGGGAAGCAGAGGCAGGTGGATTTCTGTGTTTGAGGCCAGTCTGGTCTACAGATTGAGTTCCAGAACAGCCAGGACTACACAGAGAAACCCTGTCTGCGGGGGTGGAGGGTGGAGGGGACGGAGAAGATGTGTCTGTTGATAGACATCTGTCTAGCCTGGTTCCATTTCTTAGTGGTGAATACACAGCAGTGACCATGGCCATGCGTGGAGTCCTTCAGGCATATGCCCACGTGTGGTCTCCCTGGGCTGTGTGGTAGCTGTTTTATTCTTTTTAGGAGTGTCCACACTGACTTCTATAGTAGCTACCTCAGTTTACAGTCCTGCCAGCACTGGGTAGTAGCTCCCATTTCTCCACTTGTTCACCAGCAAAGCAGGCGTTTCTTCTGTAAAAACAAAAGGACCAGGGGGAGCTGCCGGGTACATGAGCTCGGTCGGCTGCTCTCCAGGTAGTTCTGTGTGCTGAGAGGTGATGCAGTAAAGTACAGGCTATAACTTGATCTCTTGTTAAAGTGTGTTGTTTATACGTGAATCACCGTGCACTTCCCACCAGGAGGCCTTTGTTCTGTCAGGACACAGCCTCCTCTGCCCTTGTGCTGGGAAGCTGCTGCTCGTGTCTGGTTCTTACTGGCTGACACATCTTGTTCCCCTTTGCTCCAGTGGCCTATACGACATGGCATCATTGAAGACTGGGATCTTATGGAGAGGTTCATGGAACAAGTGGTCTTTAAGTACCTTCGTGCTGAACCCGAGGACCATTATTTTTTAATGGTGAGTAATTGGAGCTAAGAGGAATATATACCCCTATGAATTCCAAATTACTTAGATTGTTAAACACTAAAGTCCTTCTAAAGACTCGGATTTTTAAACACAAGTCCTTCTAAAGGCTTTTGCATGAATCAGGCTGCTTTAGGGGAAAATACCAGAAAGCTATATATCTATAATAAAAATATCCAGAACCTAAACGGCTTATCACCCTGCGGAGCAGAAGACCAGTCTGGCTGCCCTAGGCCGCTTGGTTCAGCAGCTTGGCGATGGACTCATCCTTTAGTGGGCGGGCTCTCCTGTTGGCTCTCTGGTGCCCCAGGATGGCTGTCCAACTTTCTGTGCTGCCTCTTCAGAATCTTCACTGATTTCTGCTCAGGAGTAGAAGAGAAGGCTTTTCCTGCAGTCTTGAAGCCATTCTTAGGAAACTTCCCAGTGTGTTTGCCCCTGTGCCTGAGCTGTCTGTGGGTTTCTTAGACCAGGAGGAGGGTAAGTACTGTAACAGACTTCCAGTACAGGGTCTAGAGGAGGCATGGTTTGTGTGGGAAGCTGTTTTGTCCTCCAGTGTCCTTGAGAAGTAAGTGGATGCAGAGAAACCTCAGCCAAGATGTTATTTTTCCAGTGTTTAGATCTTATTGTAAAAGGGCACTGAGCTGAGCTCTGAGCCCTGATTATGGTACTTAAGTATTGTGTCAAACAAAACAGGGTAGAGAAATGAGAAGAAATACCTCTTGGGATCTATGGGATTTAATTGTTCTGTTCAACATAATGTTTCCTCCCATGGAATATTCTTTTTACATGCATAGTCTCATGCATAAAATGCTTGCTTCATAAATAGCAATGCTATACAATATAAACTGCATATTAAACTTACATGAGTTAGCTTTGGATTTTTCTATGCAAGTACATTGTCAAATGGTTCAATATTCAGGTTAATTCTTTCTGATTACCCATACTCTTTAGAATTTTCTGGTGGTGGCATATGCCTTTAATCCCAGAACTTGGGAGGCAGAGGCAGGCAGATCTCTGAGAGTTCAAGGCCAGCCTGATTTATAGAATGAGTTTCAGAACAGCCAGAACTGTTACACAGAGAAACCCTGTCTCCGAAAATCAAAAGAAGAAACTACAAGGCTAGTAGTTATATATTTAAAGTGTATTGATTATTATTATTTTATTTTATAATATATAATATGTGATATTATATTAGAAAGTAGTGGGGCTGGAGAGATGGCTCAGTGGTTAAGAGCAATGACTGCTCTTCCAGAGGACCCGGGTTCAATTCCCAGCACCCATATGGCATCTAACAACTGGCTGTAACTCTAAGATCTGACACTCTCACACAGGCATACATGCAGGCAAAACACCAATGCAAATAAAATAAAAATAAACAAATGATTAAAAAACAAGAAGGGAACTACAAGGCTAATAGTTATGGAGCTTATATATTTAATGTGTATTAATTGTTATATTACAATTAACACATCATGTTAATCATATATAATAATTATTGGTTATGATTATATTATTATCTTAATTATCTTAACCAGGGCAGACCTTTACAGGTGTTCTGACCTCTCCCTCACATGTCAGCTTTTGGGGCAGAACGTCAAGTGTGGCTCCTGTGTTTTATAGGCCTCTGTAGTTCGTCTCCTGAACACACACAGTGGTTGTATTAAATAAATGGAACCAGGTAACTGACAGGTGTGAGTTACTTTGTCTGTGTGGCCAAAGCAGATTCCACCTGCCAGGGTTGGCACTTTTCTTGTTCTAGCTCATCGCTAACTACCTGTTGAATAGGGTTTTAGGGCCAGGCACGATGCCCAGCTGCTTTCTTCTGCCTTCCAGCTTACTGAGGCAGGACCTCTCTTCTGCTTCTACTTAAAGGCTTCTAATCTAAGGTCTATGGAGTGAGTGCAGATACATGTCACCGAACATTCTTACTGGAAAAAAAAAAAAAAAGAAAAGAAAAGAAAACAACGCTACACAGATTTCCTTTCTGTCTTTTCCTTCTCCTTCTCCTCCTCCCTCTCCCTCTTTCCCTCCCCCACTTACACACACACCCTTCCCTGGTGTATCTATAAACTGGTGGACCTAGAAAAACCCATTTCAGACCACCAGCAGTGAGACACCATGATGATCCTGAAGATCTGACTATAGTGTAACTAGAAGGCCAGCAAGGTGAGGGGCGAAGGGGTGGTGTGGGGCCATGGTGTAATAGTAAGAGGTGGCGCTGTGAATGGGCTGGGTGATTTTGAGACTGGAGAGGCCAGGCATTGTCTCTGCGTGCGTGCGTGCGTGGGTGACATGTTCTTACTGTTCTGAAACTTACCAGGTAGCCCAGGCTTGGCTGTAAATCTCAAGCTCTAGGGATCCACCTATCTCCATGCTACCAGTTCTGTAATTACAGGCTAGTGCCACTATACCCAACTTTTTCTTTTCTTTCTTAAGTTATGTTTTTGGTTAGCAAACAAAGAAATGGATTTCACTATGACAGTTTCATACATCTATGTCATGCTCTGTAAGTTCCTGGATTATTACTTGTCTTAGTTATTATTTGTCTTGTCTACTACTGTAATAAAAACCATGCAGAAAGCAAGTTGGGGAGGAAAGGGTTTATTTGGCTTACACTTAATGTATTACTGTTCATCATTGGAGGAAGTCTCCGTAGGCAGACTTTTCTTTCTTGCCTGCCAGTTCCCAAATAACAGATATGGACACTTAAAATTATTATAAATGATTGACAGATAGTTCAGGCTTATGACTAACTAGCTGTTACAACTTAAATTAACCCATTTCTATTAATCTATGCATTGCCCTGGGGCTCTTGGCATTTACTTCTCCAGCGTGTCTTGCTTCCTCTGTGTCTGGCTGGCAACTATGGAGACTCCACCCTTCTTTCCAGCACCCTCCCAGCCTGGCTCTCCCATCCAGTCTCTTCCTGCCTAGCTTTAGGCCAGTCAGCTCTTTATTAACCAATGAAAGTAATACATACTTACAGTGTACAAAGATTGTTCCACAGTAGAAGTCAGGATGGGAACTCAAACAGGGTAGGAACCTGGAGGCAGTAGCTGACGCAGAGGCCGTGGAGGTTTGTTGCTTACTGGCTTGCTGCTCATCATGGCTTGCTCAGCCTGTTTTTTTTTTTTTTTTTTTTTTTTAAATAGAACTCAGAGCCACAATGGTCTGGGCCATCCCCAGTCAGTTACTAATTAAGAAAATACCCTATAGCTGGATCTTATAGAGACAATTTTTTCAATTGAGTTTCTCTGCTTTCAGATAACCCTAGCTTGTGTTACGTTGACATAACACTACTAGCATATTAGTGGTGGTGGCTCAGACATGGTCTCCCCAATTCAGGGGCCACTAGCCAGCACAGAAATGGGCTACATGGCTTGCTCAGTCTGCTGACTCACCTGCCTTAGATCTTCTCGCATGTTGTCATATCCTCTCCTGTTCTTTCATTGCGTGTCTGTATTTTAAAAATTGTTTCTTGGGCAATTGAGGTGGCTTAGTAGGTGAAAGTGCATTCTGTGCAAGCTTGGTGGCCTGAGTTTGATCACCCGAACCCACAATGAAAGGAGAAAGATGGTGCCCAGAGTTATCCTCTGACCTCCTCTGCTCTGTGTGGCGCCGGTGTACCTGTGCTCATGTGCACACATATACCAATAATAATAATAAACATTCCTCTACTGAAGTTATGGAGGGTTTAAAGGTGGAACTAATTCTAAAGCTGTGCATTCAACCTTTTCTTTTGTGGAGAGATATAGGTTATTTTTCACAATACTCATTAATTATTCCTTTCGAGTAAGTACCAGCTGATCATTTCACTATTGCTACTGATTAAGGTGCTTATGTAGTTTGCTTTTATGTGGTATTCTAATAATATGCTTCAATATTAAGACAATAAGAAAACTTTGATCTTGTGCTATGATCTGGGAATGATTCATTTAAGTGTATTCCAAAGGAATTCTTCCTGTGTCTTTGGTGATGGACACAGAAGTACTGGAAGAGCAAGGAGGGAACGGGTTGAGGACATGGTCTTTAGGAATACTGACTTTGAACCGGGTGGTGGTGGCGCACACCTTTAATCCTAGCACTCAGGAGGCAGTGGGTCTCTGAGTTTGAGGCCAGCCTGGTCTACAGAGTGAGTTCCAGGACAGCCAGGGCCACACAGAGAAACTCTGTCTTGAAAAGCAAAGCAAAGCAAAGCAAAACAAAACAAAAGAATACTTTGATTCCAGAACCAGAGAACAGGACTGCATAACAAATGTTTCCTGAGGTAGAAGTAGAGAGTGTAATTCTTCAAAGATCGTGAATTGTGGTATCCAGTGATAGGAGTCTAAAAATAGTCATAGGCATCAGTGCCGGGCATGGCAGCTGTCTGGTGTTCTGGTGTCACGGGGGATTTCTCTTCCCTAGTGTACTTGATGTGTGGCTTCACTGCTAAGGATGATGGCTCTTCCAGTGTTGGTCACTGTAGCTTCCATCATTCCCTTATTCTAAAGGAAGAGAGAGGGGTAAGGGCAAAGAGGGTCTACTATTTGGCATTAGCTTTTGTATCTCATTGACCAGAGCTTACTTACTTAGTCATCCTTGTCCACAAAGAAGTCTGGGATATGATTTTTGTCTGGGCCTGCTCCTGTTTCCAGTATCAGTCAATGAGTAATCAGTAATGACCACACATTGCTAATAAAGCACAACTCATAGTACCTGGAAGAGCAAGGCAAGCCACAGGTTTGAAGAAGGCTCAAATAGAGCTCAGCTGCCTTCATGACTTCTGCTGTATTCTCTCCACCTTGAGTGTCATACGTCAGGGATCCGGTGGGCCAGGAGTGCCATGGTCATGCTGTATCTGCTCCAGCTCCAAGATGGGTGTACTTCTGTTCAGTGCTTGTTCTGTGGCTAAGGGGGTTGCATTGCTATGTGAGGGCTGTGTAAGTCCTGGTCCATAGTCTCACCCAGGTGTGTAAACTTCTTCCCTGTTACAGTAGAGATGAAGGGAAGAA